TTCACTTTTGTATCTTACTGCCAGCAGACCTGACATAGTTTTCAGTGTAGGGCTTTGTGCTCGTTTTTAGGCTAATCCAAAGGAGTCTCACTTGACTGCTGTCAAGAGGATACTGAGATATTTGAAAGGCACTACTGATTTGTGTCTTTGGTACCCTAAAGGTAGTAATTTCAATCTAGTAGGGTATGTTGATGCTGACTATGCAGGTTTCCTTGTAGATAGAAAGAGCACCTCAGGTATGGCTCATTTTCTTGGTTCATGTCTTGTATCATGGGCCACTAAAAACAGAATTCAGTGGCCTTATCCACTGCTAAGGCTGAATATGTTGTTGATGCCTCTTGTTGTGCTCATTTGATGTGGATCAAACAATAACTGGTAGATTTTGGCATTGAAGTTGGTTGCATTCCTATCTTCTGTGATAACACTAATGCTATAAGTATGACAAAGAACCATGTTCATCATAAGAGGACTAAGCACATAGATGTTAGACACCACTTCTTAAGAGATAACTATGAGAAAGGATTGATCTCCATAGAATTTTGTGCTACTGATAAACAAATTGCTGACATCTTTACTAAAGCACTGAGTAGAGAAAACTTTGAGAGGAGCAGGTTGGAATTAGGGATGATTAAGATCACCTAATAGGACCAGCTCAGAATGCACAATGAAAAAAAATGAAAAAAAAATTCACAGGAAATCTGATCTTGTGTAAATATCTAGATTAATTTTTACTCGGTTTCATGATGTAATTAGTATACTCCTGTGATATGTGTTAATATGACTCATTGATCTCTTACAAAATTTTCTCTGTTAAGGTAAATTGAGACATGGTGAAGAGAATTCTAAATCAAGGACCCAGTTCATCAGTATTGGTTCATCTGAATGCTAAGGTATGTTTTCTATACTCTGAACAATTAGAAATATAAATATTTAAATCATGAGAAGAAGTCCTACAATTGTTCAAATCCTTAGAAAATTCTATCTGTTTGTTTTTGAACTAGTTTCGTCAGCTTTAGAACTCTAAACCACAAAAATTGCCTAAAATCTAGGGAAGCCTAACCGTTCATTTAAACCTGAAATTTTAGGTTGATTAGACCTATAATTGACCACTGCTAAATCTGTCGTTATATGTTAAATGTGTATTTCTCTTTAAATACGCATCATTATCTCCTGCCATTTTCAAAATTCTAAACCATCAAAAGCCCCCTCTTCACTTTCAATTGCTTTCTTCTCCCAAGTTCTAACTAACAAAATCTCTCAAAGAATCAACGATAATGACAAACCCACAAGATAACCTTGGAACTCCACCACCACCGACTCCCTCTAATTCATCTACCCCTCCTCCACCTAGCACATCTCCCAAACCCAGGCTGAGAAGGGTAAAAATGCTGGCTCGAAAAACAGTAGCTTTTGGGGCTCTTTCAAAGAAATTGAATGAGACATTAAAGGCAAACCAGGTCTAAGACTCTGATTCCAACTCTGATTCTGAGTCGAACAAATCTGCTAGTGAGGGGGAAGGACCTGGGTCTTCTGACTCTGAGAAGACTCAAGAATCCCCTTCTAAGGTAAGTTCTTCTTTGACTGAGAATTTAGAAAATAGGTTTGTTTTGGTTGGGCCTATTAGGGATGTGGAATTACCTGAGGTTAGAAGGACTGAAGGCAAAAAAAAATTCAGAAAAAGAAAAAAAAAAGGGTGACTGTGGTGACGAGAGGGTAAAAGGGAAAAGAGTGGTTGATCATTCACCCACTGGTGATTTGTCTGTACCTGCTATTTGTGGGGTTGAACAAGAAAATGTTGAAGAGAGTGGCAAGAAGTCAGGGGGAAGTGGTTCTGGTGAAGCTTCTGAAGGGTTTGTTAATCTAAGAGCACAAGGAGATAAACTTGGTTCATCAACTAAAGAGACCTTAGCAGACCTGTAGAAAAAGGTTGGGGCAAGTTATGATCCAAAGAAAAGAAGAACTCCCACACCAAAATCCCCCAGTGCCTCTAAACCCTCCAAGAAAATAAAGGTTTCATCCCCAACAACTACTGAAACTTCCTTGCCAAAGGGAAGAGACACAAGAAGCAGGGTGAAATAGAGTGAGAGTGATCTACAAAAGGCTCTGGCTGAAAGTAAGAATAAAAGGATTTCTAAAGAAAAGGGTGAGGCTGCAGAGGCCTCAGAACCTGTTGATATTGAGGAGATGGAACAGGTCCATCAGGAGGAAGTTCCAACAGTGGAGGTTCAGACCCCCAAGCCCAAAAAGCCCAAGACTTGTTCCAAGAAGTCTTCCTCTGTGTTTGAGGCTGCTGAACCCTCATTGGCCGAGAGGACAAGGTCTGCAGTGAAAAGTAAACAAGTAAGAATTTCTGAAGATGAGGAATAAAGTGGTGAAGAAGAAGATAATGAGTCTGATGGTGAACAAGACAAGCTTTCCATGTTTGGCAAAAGAAAAAATTTGAAGGGTAGATTGCTAAAACACCTAGTGGAACCAGGAATGATGAAACTGGTGGATGCCTTAGCTGCTCAAGGCTGGAAGGACATGGTCCTTCAGATGGATAGAATTCTAGCCAGGAATGAGATCATTGAGTTCATGGCAAATGCAGAGGTTAAGGATGGTAGAGTTAGTAGCTTGGTGAAAGGAGTTCAAGTGGCCTTTGATGCAAAAAATCTAGGAGAGATCCTTGACATACCCTCTGAAGGGTTTGATGACTATACAAGGCAAAGGTGGCCATGTCTGGACTCCCTTCCTACTGCCCTTGAAATTACCAGGAGGTTCTATGATGATGCAGATGTGAATGAGGCTAGGGTTGTACAGAAGAGTGAAATGAGGCCACAGCACAAAGTCATTTTTGAGTTTGTCAACAAGTACCTATTGCCCAGGCAGGAGAGAAGGCATATTGCAAATTATATGGACTTAGTTCTAATGGAGTGCCTGGAAAGTGGAAGGCAAATTAATTGGCATGCATTCATCATCAAGCTACTGGACAGGGTCATCAATGGCTCCAAGGCTCATACTACCCCCTATGGCTTTATTCTGACTATGGTTCTAGATAGGTGCAATGTTCCTCTAAATAAATGGGAAATGGCCTCAAACAAGGACCATTTTGGCATTAATACTCTGCTTGCTTGTGACTATTTAGTCAATGTCATCCCAAATGAACCTGGTTCATCCAAGAAGACTCCTATCAACAGTAAAGTCAGGGCTCTTGTTCAGGAAAGTGAAGCCAATGATGCTGAGATAGCTAGGCTCAAGGCTCGTGGGGCAGAGGTGGAATCTAAAAGGGATGCTCTCATAATTGAGCTCACCAAGGAAAGGGAGAAGAATGATGGAATTCTTCACAATATGCTGAATCTTCTCCAAGCCCAAAACCAACCCTCTAGCTCCCCCAAGCCTTAGGATTTCTAGCCTTTATCTCCTGAACCACGTCTAGTACCTTCAGTGACCCGGATTAGGGATGTTTCTTTCTTTTTGCTCATGCTTTAAATGTTTTTTGCTTTCTGGTTGTCGATTTTAGTAGCAACATATCTTCTATCAATGATATTTACTATTTTTGCTCTTGTTCAATGTTAATCTTTCCTTGATAGTTTAAATATGTTTGCTTGATTATTGATGATTAAACCATGATTGCACTTATAGTTGTCCAGTGGCCATGAGTACTTATTAAAATCTGGGACTCACACTTTGAATGCAACTTTTCGATGATACCAAAAGGGGGAAGAGATATTGTGCTTTACACATTCTGAATAAGTGATATTTATAACCTAATTAACCTGGTCCTTGATGATAAGTGAATTTTATAAACTTTGTATTGATGGTTAAGCTGAGTTCTTACAGGATCCAAGTAAGTAAAAAGCATAGAGTTTGTCATCATCAAAAAGGGGGAATTTGGTGGCCCAAGAATAGGTGAAGTTTTGAAGACTGACAAAACAACTCAGACATGGACCAGGTCTATCTTGTGAAGCACAGCCAAGATCAACCCAGACATGTGAGATGCACGTGAAGGAGATAAATCTAACTTATTAGAAGTAATATCTCTTGATCTGATTGAAAAGGTTGCATATTCGATAAGGAGAGAAAGACTCCTTACATGAAGAGAACACAGTTTAGGAAGAGGATAGTGTTCGAGTTTGAGATCAACTTGAACTCTTCTACGATAGAAGAGTAGTATCTGAATCCCAGTCAATCTCTAATTACTAACCCATTTAAATATCATTGTTGTTCTCTTTTACAGGTAATGCACATAAGCAGAAGTTAAACTTAAATTGAGAGCAAAAGAGCAAGGCGATTTTGCAAGCAATTTATGTGTGATTCGAGTGTACAATCCTGAAGCTACTTGAACGAGATAGAAGAACCAATTCCAAGTGTCTATCTTTCATTCTAGTTCAATTGCAATAGGTGATTTTACATTACACCTTTCAGCTTTCATAGAAGCAATTGTATTAGGTACCTAGAGTGTTCAATTTAGAGTTAACTTGAAGTTGTCGCAACAGTTGAAGTAGTGTACCACAACAGGATTAGAGTTAATCCTTAGGCTTACAAAGAGTTTTGTAAATACTGTTTTGGCTCAGTGATTTTAGTGGAAGTTTGGGAAAATCCTACTGAGTAGTAGGTCGTGGTTTTTTCACCTTTTGAGCCAGGTGTTTTCAACGTAAAAATCTGTATGTTCTTTATTTTCTTTACTTATTATTCTGCAAACAGTAGTAGTTGGAACACATAGAAGAGCCAGGTCTTTCTATTGNTGGGTATTTTGAAGAGTTGCCACCTAACGGATTATGGTGCATTAGGGCACCTAGAGCGATTAACTCTTGGATTACCAGGGATTTAGGGTAAGGACTCGAAATAACCTTGAGGGGAAGGTGTTAGGCACCCCTCTTTGTCCACAATTGTGGGTCCCGATCGAACTTATACTTATGATTTAGTACTTTAACATATAAGTAGTTGAAACAAATAAATAAAATATGTTGGGAATTGTATGACTCAAATAATAAAGCACAAAATTTGAACAAGTTGTGTGCATGAAAAGAAAGTAAAGTTTTAAGCAAAGGGAATTTGGTAAAGAGGGGTCCTAGGTTGGTTAGCCTACAGGATCACCCCACGTAATGCCCGGTAAACACTCCTCAATGAGGGGCTACACGTGACATTAGCGGGTAGTCATAATATCCCATTCTACCCAAGTCCCTCCCCTTGGTCATAGCCTAAAGCGTTATAATAACCTTGACAATGTCATATGTGTGCACTACCCGTCCCTTCCTTGTGGTCCTGGAGGTATTTTAGGACATCTAAATTTGGGCAATTCTAGACAACCCCTATGGTGTTTTAAAAGGAGAAAATTCTAGGCGACAGGCAAGAACAATTAGGACTTCATATAAAACAAGTTAGAGGCTCACAGTTACCTCCTCAAACATACCACATAAATGCACGTCTTCAAACAACATTCAAAGAGAACAAATCCTAGAACATGATATCTAAGTGAGCATAGGTTATAAAGTACTGAATTAGGCCAATATGTGAAGGATCCTATTTAACTTGCCTACTGATTAAACCTGTTAAATCTGAACAACTTTAAGTAGCAGAAATGCAGTTTCAGAGTTGCAAGATTTAAAACGCCCTATAGGCTTGCCTAACGCAGAATAGTGATGTCCTAAGAGCATGACAACTACGCCTGATGTAGTAAAATAGTGAGCAGTTTTAAACGGACATTTGAGGTCCTATAGGCATGCTTTCTAGCAGTGATGAATGACGACAGTGTTTAGATCGATTAAAGAAGCGGACAATTGATTAAGACAATTTAAAATGAAATAGCACGAATTACACTAAATTGATTTTAATTCTATAGGCAGAATTTCGTATTTTTATTCCCTATAAGCATGATATCTAGTTGTTAAGAGTTGATGTTAGAAACTTATAGGCATGATATCTAATGAAAACAAATGTAAATACCTGTTGTAACATAAACTGGACTTGATCACATTCTATAGGCATGATATCTACTTATGAAGTTGATTTTTTTTAAACCTATAGACATGATTTCTATTATTGGAACCACATAAACCCTATATGCATGATTTCTAGAATGGTAAGGCAAACATAACAAGTATATTAATATGATCCAACAGGCATGGTTTCTAGCATGGCAAAGCAAACATTGCAGGTATAAAATCCTATAGGCATGGTTTCTACCCATATTACCCCACAGATATGTAACTACCCACCCATTTTCACTAATCACCCCAATATTCATTTACAAATAATCATTACAAACAAGATGAATGAATCATATAAATAGATAAAAGAAAAAGAAGAAGATGCTCTATATGGAGTCTGATGTTGCGACCAAAACACTCACGCAAGTGTACGCGATCTTCAAGTAATATAATAATAAGTAGAGTATCGTTCCCACGAGGACTTATGATTAACTTAACGACTGATGCAAACTCAAACAATTATCAATTCAAGCTAATTCATCACAATACATAAATAACCAATTTACAATTTAACTAGTAGACAAACAATAATACAACGCAAAGTTACTACGCCACTTATGAATTTTTCTTTTAACAATTAATAAAGGAGATATCCGGGGATTATGGGCTTGCTAGAGATCATGCTACGTTTTTAGCTTAAAAATGATTTATTGAATTATCTGGGTTATTGATTATAGGGTTAATACTACCCATAAGAATCTATCGATTTCTTATGCGCCTATTCAAGTTAAATTAATATCTATATTTCTATGGTATTAATATTAACTCAAATGCATTTACAAAACCTATTTCTCAACCAACAAGGCAACTAAGTATAGTTCTATCTTAATTGCGAATCTTTCACCCGATGCCCAGGATCCAGATCTTGCTCTATTTGATTCTATATGCAATCAAGAATTTCCTTTTTCAAGTTTAACTCAAGATTCGTAAATAGTATTTCACTGTTAGCTA